GTGTTAGGAGCCAGAAGTACCTCTCATCCGTGAAAATATATGTTCTGTGAAGCTTTCTCATACTGTTCAGTGTAAAATTTGTTTGGGTATTTGTGGTTGTGTATTCCATCTCCCTGCCCCCCTCAGGCCACACTATGATCTCTCTGTGTGATCTCCTAATTAATTCTGTATTGATTTGCAAGGGCACATTGGCCACGCGTAAGTCTTTTGCAGAGTTATCGACAGAGGTTGCAGGAATGATGTTGAAATATAGCTGTCACAGGAGCTGTAATCTCATCACTTGCTCATATATGAATTAAGGCAGAGTTGGGCAGAATAAGAACTCCATCAGCAACCTCATTTGTGCAACACTATGTAAAGTTTAACAGTCAGTTTCACTTTTTATAAATGGGCTACATGTATAGATACCTAAATTTGCTGCTGCATGGCTCTTACGAAAGCAGCAGCATGCAATTGCAAGTGTCAGTTATTCTGCAACATCTTTCTCTTTCTAAAAGTCTGTTGTCTTCACACACTTTATTGCTGCCTTGCTCTGCCCTGTATTTAGTTAACTGGCCCATTTCCTGATTTTGCCCTGGATGTAATTGTATATGCACAGTTAACACACAGTTACAAATACCTCCAAAATTAATTAATTTTTTAGAATGGAGAAGAGAAATGGAAACATCTTCCACCCACATTACCCTGAAGACTAAGCTGGCCAAGTTCAATGAGTGAGAGCACAGTAATTCAATGAATGAGTACCAAAGCATGTGCTCTACACTGTAGAGATTCAATATTTGGCTGGTAACTGCTGCTGCACAGGTCAGTGGTTCGAATGTCAGGCAGCACAGCTTTTGGCTGGGATGGAAGGCATCTCTGCTAGCATGAGCTCTGGCTTCACACTCCATTCATGTGTGGATGCTGAACTTATGCAGAAGAAATCGAGGACCCGGAGCTGACAAGCTCCCATTTAACAAGCAGTGACTGAATAGGTTTATGCTGAAGGCATCTGGCTTGGATTTCAGCATTAAACCTTGACAAGGTCTTTTTAACCAGGGCTGCCAATCTCTCAGTGGCAAGACTGACAATGGCTGAAATTCTGACCTTCAAATATAGAGACGAATTGCCAAAGGGCACTTGTAGGTAGCTCAGCACTGATTTTAGTCTATTTGATTGAATATCTGCCCCTTTAGTCCTTACAATAAGAAATCTGTGCCATGAAAAACACAAGATCTCAAGGATGAGCAACAAAACACTTTAGCAAATTTGGAATATGTCTGTATTTCCTGGTGAAAACCCAAAGCTTGGATGGAGGGAGCTTGTTTAACTTGATTTGACTTTAGATGGGGGGATTTGCTTAAAATTGAAACTAATATATGCAATATAGCACCTGGATTCAAATATCCATGTGTATTTCTTTTGTAATCAAACTACATTCCTTCCATCTTTCAGCCATTCCTGGACATAAGTGTATTATGAATTTAAATAAAGCTACTATCATTTTTTTAAATTGGAAATACAAGTATGAATTCTCCGTTGTAAATGTTAAAGATAACTCACCACCAAAGTCCGAGAAAATAATCAATTTAAATAAAGCTACTATCATTTTTTTTAATTGGAAATACAAGTTTGAATTCTCCTTTGTAAATGTTAAAGATAAATCATCACCAAAGTCCGAGAAAATAATCCATAATACAAGAACCATGGACATGTCAGTGACAGCAAACATCAGGAGATCAATGGACCTAAGACAAATAAGAATTGGGAATTTAAATGAAAATAAGGAGAAGACGTACAACTATACAGTCCATGTAAATAAACATATGGGAGAGGAAGAACCAAAGGAGGAATTGCTTCTGCTTCACATGCAAAATCTATGCAAGGAAAAAAAGAGAAAAGGTGATCCAGTTCATTCCTTCTTTGTGCTAAGAAGAAGAATAAATGACTTTTACTGTATTTGTCAAGTTTGGTAAAATTACATCATGTCATATCCAAAGAATCGGACTATTTTTAAACTACAAATCCCAAGAGCAATAATCAAGTACTTTAAACCATATTCTTTAAATAAATAATTTTATTTCCCTCTCACAAAAAAAAAAAAAAAAGAGAAGGTTGTTTTATTTGTTAATTACACTTCTCTACACAAAGTAACCCTTGTGTCTTCCCATTAGGTTCATACCTATCTTCAAGCACCAGTGAACCCTGCCATTCTCTAGGAACAAAAGCACCTACAGTTCCAGCTTTCATTGGTGGTTTCTTTTTTCACTGGATGTAAGCCAGACTCAAATTGTTTGAGGGGGGAAGTAGCAGACACACATAAGCCATTATTTATTTCCAATCCTCATACAAGACACCTGATACAAGCCAAGATGAAGAGAAATGCAAGGATTCAGGGTATAAGCATGGGAACTCACAAGAGTGAAAGTTGGAGGGATGGCAGAGAAGGAAGGGGGAGGGTGAAAACACGTGAATTTGGTTCTCAGCTCAAAGGTTTGTCTCATTTTTTTCCCAGGTGAATGCGCTGTTGTTGCTACACAGAGACCTGGGCAGCTCAGGTGTTCTGTGCTCGATTCACATTGATTTTTAACTAACCAGTTCCAGGAAAAGGACCTTCGATCAGGAGAATTGATCGCTGCTGGTGAGCAAGTATTTCTCATTCTTAACTTTCCTTTAATACAGCAAGGAGGTTTGGTTCACAAATACATTACAAGCCTAGTTATACAAAAATACAAATGATAGATGTGTAGAGATTAGCTAGCACAGGGTTGTTGTGGCAGAGAGTTGAAGGCAATCTATATGGTGTTGGCTGTCATTCTTTTCTCTAAATCAATTAACTAACATTGGATCATGTAGCATCAAAAATTCAGAATATTGGATTTAAACTGCCTCCAGCTGCAGCTCCATAAATTATCTTTCCAAAGCCCTATTGATTTTCAATAGGATGATAATCAGTTACTTAACCTTCAGATAATTATATCTGTGACTCAAAGAGATTTACACTTTAATTTTACAATGAATACATCATAAAAGAAAGAACTGAATCATGCATTCCATTTCTGCTTTATAGAGACATTATCTGGCGTAATTTCAAAGTCACATCTACTTATGTTTAAATGGCATTTAAAAATGGTCATAGAAATGCCAAATTTGATTGTTAACATCTATTAGGTGAACTGATGATAAAGATATTTGCTAACTTTCACACAGAGTTGCTACAAATATTCATTTGTCAGGAGTATAGTGGTATGGTGTAATGATATGAAGTCAGTAGTTTACACAGACATGGGGAAAACTTGAATGGAATTTTTACTGAGGATTTATTAAAGAATCCTCATCCCCCAGACTTAACTAAAAATTATATTCTCTCCTTAGGAAACACTGGAAAACTTCATTTTTTCTTATTAAACATCAATAATCTGAAATCATTAAATTACTGCACATAGTAAGCTTCAAAGGAGACTCCTTTCTAAAAGTCAGTCAACAATAGCCAGCATGAATGAGCCTAAGGAAGCATGTGAAAAAAGAGCAACTCTAGAGTTGTGATGCCATGGCAGGGGAAAGGGAACTGTGTGGAGAAGACTGAAGGGAAAAATATTACAATGAATGTACTCATTATTTTAGCAACCAAGGGAAATTTCTTCAGAAATATAAGAGTCTTACTACAAGATGATAATTCTTTTTTTCCTAAGATTTTGTATATTTTAATGTACAATTTTTTCTCCAGTCACTCCAATAGAATGTTTTTCCATCTTAAGACAAGAAAAGTAATATATTTCAGAATGCCAGTTATTGGAAATGGAGATTTAATTTGTTCACAAGAAATTTAACTTCTAACTGTGATTCTGAGATATTAAGATATTCATTAAAGCAACATTTTTCATGCCTCTTAGTCCTAAAAAGCACAAAGCATTTTCTTTTGCCAGTACTCAGGGTTGTAATTCCATACTGGCTATCACCTATAAATTCAACTTTGAAATTTTCTTTATCAATACAGGCACAAGTATCTTGGGGGATTTTTTTTTCTGTATTTAAGTCAAAGTACTTTCTCAGTGGGTTATCCTGGTAACCCTAAAGCTCAGCCTTAGAAAAGTGGAATCTCCAGCAAGAGCTGACTCAGTGTACTGGGCTGCATGCATTGCATTTTTTAACTCAGTTCAAACCATCAGGCATCCACCTGAATAGCAGCTTTAATGCCTAAAGATGATTGTACTGGGCAGAAAGAAGACTTATCAATTAAAAAAGGTTAGCTTTGTAGTGCTTTTCCTCAACTGTTGCTTCTGTTCTCTGATTTTTATCAAGGCCAGAAGTTACTGAATTTCTTATGATGATCTTTGTCAGGAAGAGAATACTAAAACAGACAGATGAATTGTTTCATTCATCAGGAGTTGAACTGAAATTCAGTGTAAATATGTCATGGAGAATGGGGAAATTTTTCAAGTTTTCATTATGAAAAACAGCTGAAAGTTTCTTTGATATTTATCTCACAATCTTTAACATCCTGATTCACAGAATGCAGGCTTTAAAAAATGATGGCATTTTCAACATCCTGGATGGATTTGACAGTTTAAAACATATTATTCCTGGAGTCAAATATTTGCCAGTTTTCCTGTTTTATTAAGCAGGATCTCATGAGACATCTTTTGATAAAATATAAAACAAAAAATTAAAAATCCCATGCTGTTACCTTTCACTAACATTAAAATACCAGTAGCACTGTCTTGAAATTGTCATGATCCAGTATTATGACATTGTACTACTTCATAAGAATCAAATTGGAATAGTCCTCTGCAGCCTAATTTTGACAGCTGAGAGTAGTGTTGCACAGTAAAATTAAGCAGCTCCATTTGGCATTTTTCTCACAAAGGCAGGCATTTCTAGAAATAACCCAAACTGTCTCTGGATTATTGATTGTTAGGATGCCACTAACACATTGATTTACACTGCGCCAGGTGACGAATCCATGTGACTAAAGCTGTTGCTTTGTTTTCCAGTTTCTTTGACACGTTGAAAGGGAAATAATGCTCCATTCAACACTGGCCTTGTCCCTCCTCCTAATTGCAGTCTCTTCCAACCTTGCAATGGCAATCAAAAAGGAAAAACGAGCACCTCAGACACTGTCAAGAGGTACTGTATATTTAGTCTGTACTTACCTCCTTACCTCACCATATAGACCAGTAAATATTTGTATTTAGAATGTACACTTATAGAATGCATCCATATATATATATATAAAATACATATAGAGAATGGATGCATACACTTACTGAGGCATGTTTCTCTAGTGTTAAGTGACATTCTAAGCAGGTCATCTTCCTAGTCCATATCATTTCACTCTGTCTGTTTATTCTTAAGGCTAAGTGACATTCTAAGCAGGTCATCTTCTTAGTCCGTATCATTTCACTCTGTCTCTCTATTCTTAAGGTTATGACCGAGGGCCTCATATAATATGCATAATTTATATAAACTTATAGTGACCTAGTAAAAGCAAATAACCTATAGACTGAGTCTCTCAAATCAGGATGCACTTGTAGAACTATAAATGAAAAAATAAATTCTTTCATCAGTCTCTCAAATCAGGATGCACTTGTAGGACTATAAATGAAAAAAAAAATTCTTTCATATATCATTTACAAAAGATTTGATTATAGTAGCTTACCAAATACTGAAACACAATTTTGTAACTTCAGTTGCTAGGGAACAGTTTTTCTACAGACCCATTTTTGTACACAAAACAACAGTTTGGATCACTGGTGGGGTTTTCTGCATGACTTTTATGCTTTTGCTTTTCATCAGTTATCCACTGCAAGGCATGACTATGAGTAATTCCCTTCCTTGTGGTGCATAATTTTCAGCCTGGATGTTAAGCAAAGACCCTGTTTTAAGATACTTATGTCTGATCAGTCCTTAGAAATACAAGTAGAAAAACAGCTTACTAAGGTCTTTTCCCCTTCTCCATCTCCCTTTGCCTTTTGAGACTATTCACAAAAATCCCTCCATCTCCCTTCCTGAACTCTTACACAAGCTGTGGCAAAGCCTCCAGATCCCACAGCTCTCCTCTGACATTTCCCTGCACAGACCATTGCCAAAGTTGCACCTGTCTCAGAGGTCCCATCTGAGCCTAATTGCTCAGCGACAACTTGACAAGATCATGCAACACCTGAACTAGCCAAAGAGAAATTTCAAACCACTTTTTTTAAGTGGAATCCCTGGGGAAAGGCTGTAATTAATCCAGTGTGTATTGCCTACCTTGTCTAGATCAGGATTACTTTTTCCCACTAAGCTTAAATGCACAAAAAGATAATAAAATCCTTTCAGTTTTGGCAGGTTTGGAGGGAAAAAAATAAGAGCAGTAACAGAAAGCAAGTGTCAGTTTTCTAATTCTGATTTCAGGCCTTTTGGATGCCTTGAGCACTTTACATGTAATTTTCACAAACCAAAAGGGAATACTTACACCTGCTGCAAAATGACCCTGACTGACTCCTCTGTGCAGTTACCTACATCAGCAGCTGACTGCAGCCAGGGTTGGGAAGGCACTGGTCTACATGCCAGAATCTCACCATCAACCAGACAGACCTGTCTCCTGAAAGAAGAGATGACCTAGTAGCATCATGAGCAATTGTCCTGTGAGAAATCTAACAGAAATCTCTGCATAACCAGGGCTGGTCCAAGCACTGTCCAGACAGCACAGACCAGAGCTTTGACCTGGTCCAGATCCAGATGCTGTTCTACAACTCCCATGAGGGCCCTCATGAATGAAGGCACACTGCCTGGGAGGCAGGGATCTGTTACACAGGGGCTGAATCTTTGGGAGCTGACAGCATGAAACCAACTGGACAATTTGTTTTTTGAGATCTGTGTATCACCAGCTGTGGATGAGCTATCAAGCTGATTATTCATTAAGATTTTTGTTTCATTGGAGACTTTTATTTAACAGATATTCTTCTATTAAATTATTTAAATTAAGTACTTGAAACTTCAGGGCCTGAATTTCATCGGAGTTTTGACTTCCAACTTCATTTTGGAGTTCAGTTTATAACTGAAGACTGTTCTATCTGTATCATATTTGATCTTATTTGAGCTGTGATATTTTATTTTCCTCTTCTATATGACAACTTTCTCTTTAAGTTCCGGGGCCTACATGAAATGTGGAGCAGGCAATATAAAGATATAAAAGATTGGGTTCTGATTTAGGGATCTCTGAGTATTTAGAAAAATGTCTAACAGGTCTGTGAAAGGAATGGAATTGGATACACAAGCAGCTGGTTTGGTTGTAGGGTTGGGTTTTTTTCCAGTGTACCTAACAGGGGATGTAGAATCAGCATACCCACAATGTTTGGGAATCTTTGACTAAAAAAACCCAAACCTTAATTATGTACAACTGTTGATAAATATATTAAAAGAAAGGAATTTGTTATGAATTACTTGTCTGGCCACCAGTTAATCCTTTTGTTATATTTCTAGGGTGGGGAGATGAAATTACCTGGGTACAAACTTATGAAGAAGGGCTTTATCAAGCAAAAAAAAGGTAAGAGAGAAAAAAAATAGTAAAAAGAAAAGGTGTTATTCCATGATGCCAGAATATATTATAATGAAACAGAACAAAAACACTATGTCAGCTGATCTACAGACCACCCAGTTAAATAAAACAGACTGTGCCTATAAATAAAAGCCCTTGTAGGGGGTCTTATGACTCTGAAGTAACATCATAGGCCAATAATGTAATGCTGTCATTTCTTTGCCACAAGAGCAGTGTTGTCATTTGAATGAGCAATAATAAACAGACACTGTATTTTTTTAAAATTACATCTTTTGTGTTTTAATATCATGTACCTCTGATTACTTCCTTGAAATAAGTTGCATTTGGTCTTGCATGCTGTGATCTGCTGCCTCTAATATTTCCCCAATACTTTATTAGCTGGAATACATGCATGATATAGCCACAGTTTCTCACTATCTTTGTAGAAATGGAAGTTCCAATCTGAATCTGCTTTGGGAATCAGCTGAAAATATATTTGAGAGTTTACAACAATACTTATCTAAACCTCTTTTACAGTTCATTTTAGATCATAATAGTGTAGCCTGAGCTATTGCTAAATATAAGGCAAATTATTTTTACAATAAAAGACAATTAATTTCATATACCCTATGTGAAAATGGCTAGAAATTAACAAATCCTAACAGTGGTAGCAGACCAAGTATTAGTAATTCATTTGCTGAACAGTAAATATAGGGGTTTTTTAAAAATACAGGAGAAAATGCACAGAATTTTTTCATGTTTTGACATCCAAACTAATAAAATTTGGATAATTTACCAAACTATTTCCAGAGGAAAAAAATACTGTATACCTGTTCAAGAAATCTTAAAAGTGATGAAACTTTTTAATGGGATGTATTAGATGATAAACTCAGTCTTATCTCTTACCCAAAATTATTTTATTCCAGTTCATACATATTATTTTTATTTTCCTAATCATGGAGAACTTCACACCTAAGTAACATTAAATACCTCTTCAGTATGATTATATAGTAGCTGGGAATGAAATTACGATGGATCTGTCGTTTCTTTCTTCTAGAATCTCTTACTACATACATGCTGTTTAGATGTAGAAACTCTACTTCTTTCTTTTATGAAGTATTTATGCTCTTTATCCTTGCTAAAACATTGTCTGTAATACCTTACAGAATGTCGGTATGGTTTTAATGTGGCTTAACTATGATTAAATGCAATTTGCTTTTTTCAGTCTACAAGTAAAATCACCCCTTTGTTTACCTGTCAAATGATCTAACTATGTCTTTCATTATTATTAATTAAGTAACAAGCCCCTGATGGTCATTCATCATTTGGAAGACTGTCAATACTGCCAAGGTAATTTTGATTTTTTGCATGTTAAAATTTTGTGAACATTTTTATAAGAAACTGCACCTATACATTATATTTACCTTGCACTTACTAAAAATTATTTTAAAAAACAGGCAAATGAAAATGTATCTGAAAAGCAAAGAATTTATTACCGTTATTTACAAAAACTTCACTGTGAAACTACCCAATAAAGAACATGAAAAATACTCAGTGCTGCTGTACTGCTATCCTGAATGCAGCACTCGTCAGTTCAAATTAAGAGGCTGCTACTGACTCATTGAACAGATTTAATATTGTTTGGCTCTCCTGAACTGGTAACTAAAGAAGGAGACGAGGATAGGGCTGCTGAAATCAATCTAACAAGAATTTTCTGAGAATAATGCACTTTTGTCAAGCTGAGACATGGTATCCATTGAGACAACAGGCTTCATAAATAACAGAAGAGAGCTTCCATTTTCATAGCCAGGAGTTTGTACTGCCTTGGGTCAAAAAAAAAGCCCCAAAAGAAGTGATAGAAGTGATTGAGCCCCTAAGTGTCCTCTCTGGAATGTGAATAAGCAGACAGGAACAATGTGGCCAGTCTCTGGCCAATGTGGTGCCCAAACGCAAACAGAAAGGCAGAGTTTGAGATGGACTTCAAAGTGATCCTGTCTTTTCTAGCACTGAAGAAAGTGTTTGCAGAAAATGAAGAAATACAGGAAATGGCCCAAAATAACTTCGTTATGCTGAATCTCATGGTATGAAGGGTTTGGGGTGATTCGGCTGGTATCTTTTTATGGTCTGTGCTTTCTCTTTCTTTGTCTTGCTTTTTCATGTCATTTTAGCTACTATCTCTGTTATTAGTAGAGCTATTTGTTTAGCTACTATCTCTGGCATTTTAGTTATTAGTAGAGCTATTTAGTTATTAGTAGAGCTATTTAGTTATCAGTAGAGCTATTCCTATGTGTGTACCCACACACAAGTAGTACTTCTTTGGTTTTGTCCTCTAGTACAAGGCAGTACTTCAGCAATATTTACAGAATTATTTTAACAACCAGCTTTCATTTTTCTGCCAGCATGAAACCACAGATAAAAACCTGTCACCTGATGGACAATATGTGCCTCGAATCATGTTTATAGGTACGTACAATATTTAGGTACCTTCAAAGATGTAATATCTGAATTATGCCAGTGTCCTCCTTTGGGGACATCAAAAACATTCATTTTGCAAAAAGAAAGTAGGTTTCTACCTCTGTTGCAGACTTTGACCCTTGTAAACTTCCTTAGATTATAGATGTGTTCTGGTGGGTACCTAATTCAGGCTTGGGGGTAAGATGGTTAAACATCTGTTAGTACCTGGGCTTTTGCTCTCCATACTTCTTGCTAGTGCTGTGACAAGAGCAAATTTACTGAAAAAGTCAAATATCTGACTGAACGTAGATGTCTATAGGGTGGACATTACCACAGAATAAATCAACAGTCAGTGGCATCTAAGGAATGATTCATCCTATTGTAAAGCTGACTTCTGGAGTGGATCAAATAAATTATGCCCCAAAATGCCTGTTCCTTTTCACTGGCTGTACAGGGAGCCTAGAATGATTAGTTCTGTGATGGCATCCAAAGCTCAGTGAGATGAAGTCCACACGCAGACAGAGAGCAGTGTAGTCATAGGAGTCAGTTAATAAACAAAAAGCTTGGAAGGGGAACTGGGAGAAGAGATGTCCACAACAACTTGTCCCCATGCTGGAACATTAAGAATCACAAGATTTTCATTCTGATGGCTCTAGGTAGGTCATGCTAATATTGCATTAGATATGCATGAACCTCACTACGTATGCATCCGCACAAATTAGCCTCTCCTGGTGTAAACCCAGAACTTGTAAAACAGCATATTTTCCTTTAAATGTGGATGAAATGCACATGTAACCTAGCACTTAAAAATAGCTGCATAATATAAAAACGAGCATTAGCTTTTGTTCAGGATTTCTTCAGGTAAAGAGCAGTTGGCTGGAACAGAGCGTAACAGCCTCATAATTGCCTCATTGATGAAATGAGAAACAGGGCTGTCAAAGTAGCGCCACACCATCGCCCTCAGCTGTTGTGGGAACCACAGGCAGAGTTTAATACAATTGCTTTTTCAGACCCATCTCTCACAGTAAGAGCTGATATCACAGGAAGATACTCCAACCGGCTTTACACCTACGAACCACAAGACATACCATTCTGTGAGTGCTCCCTTTGTTGTAGTACTTTGCATTTCACATTGTAAGCAGCCAGACACACCTCATCCTAACCATTTGTGCTTCAGAATCCATTAGGATCTCAAAGTAAAGAATAAATACTGTGTATGAGCATTTGCAATAAATTATAATGGTCTAACCTGTTCTAGCAAAACAATCACACCTATTGTCTCATTGAATTTATTGGGACTACTCATGTAAGAAAAATTGGAAGATCATGGGTGAGAACCTTCAGGATCAAGATCTGAGAAGTTTGCTGGAGAATGGTGAAAGTCACTATGCTCAAAAGTATGCAACTGCACAATGCAAATAGCCAGTGGTGGGAGGGAATCAGTAAAGAAATGCTGGTAGTTACCTCGGTACCACCTAACACCCATAGTTCAGAAAGGAATGTGATTTTTCAGGTTGAGCCAGTTCTTACTCTATACCATTTATTTGACACCAACGCAGTATCTCACCACAAATATGCACGTCACATCTGATTACCAGGCTTGCTGCTGAGAAATGAGTTGAAAGGAGTCATGTCAAATCCCTTTAAGTTAAACATTTTGATTCATGAAAGTTTTTTACCTTCTGCTTCAGTATCATAGCCAGAATTTTCACAATAGAAAGCTCTAAATTATGTGTGACCATAAATTAATTTCCATGTGAACAACTTGACTAACTCAAACTAGGTGTTTTGTACTGTACAAATGTGTTTTTAATATATTTTTACAGTTTTTATTTGTTTTTCAGTAATAGAGAACATGAAGAAAGCTCTACGCCTCATTCAGACAGAACTGTAACCAGGAACAATGAAATGACCATAACCTCTACGAGGTGAAGCTGCACCTCTCTGTCTCTACTAGCATTTTGAACTCTTACCAAGCAGCTTTGGTATATCAGATTACATTAAAAATTTATATGTACAATTTGGAAAACAAACATATCAAGGCTATTGCACCCATTTGGAAAACAAGGGGGAAAATATATAAAAAACTTTGAAATTAGTTATCTGGATAACTGAAAGTGATGGTTAAAGTGCAGCAATTTTGAGCTGTATTTTATCAATCCAGGTATGACTCTGTTAAGTCAGCTATGACTTCTGACCAAGAGTTATAAACAGTCTTTTTGATGTCTACTTGCAATTTATTACACAAGTTAATAGCTGCATCTTGGCTCCCCATTTAAATTTTTATTGCAAGAAGTTTGTTAGTTGCTAGTGTACCTCTGCTTTATACACTTATTTCTCATTAAAGGAAAAGAAACTTTGCTGTCTAATCAGACAGGAAATCTCTTCCTATAGATTTTGGAATAGTTTATATAGAAAAAAAACCCAGTGGTCTGGGCTTAACTTTCTTCTGTGTAATCCTTTAATTATTGTTCTGATAGCTGAAAACAGAACAGACATTTCAGACTGAGCATGTGGTCTCAGTGAGGTGATAACAATCAAAGAGTAGCTGCAGGTTTTGCTATGATAAAGACACAGTGAAGCAAGAGAAATGGAAGGAGATAGACTCAGAACTCCACTCCTGAGGCTAAATGATGCTTGCAAAGTCTGATATGGGAAAAATGAAGAGGCTTGCCCTAGCTCTTTTCATTTAATTGTCACTCGACTCATGTGAAGCTTATCCCAGGTCTTTCCCTCTTTTTCTGCAGCAGTCCACCATGACAGTGACAGCTTATTGAGAGAATCTGTATATACAAACTCTTCACAAAATTTCCCCAGGATCATCATATGCAAGGATGGACTCATGTTTTGAGTAAAGCGCTGAAGCCAGTTGAAAGAGTTGATTATCCCAACAATATGGGGTTTTTTGCTAGAGCAAAACAGTCAGTGGTTCACCTGCAGTAGGAGCATGAATGTTATGTTACATGCAAAGCACCAGAGTCATTTGTTTGTGTGCTACCTGCCATTTCCTATGATGACACCTGTATACACACATAAAAGATGAAAGAAGGATCTCTGTGGGACAGTTTTGCTTATTTAGAACACCTAGTATTCATTTGTCATGAACGAGTTATATTGCACCAATCTATGTCTTTATAATTTTGTAAAATTTAGATATGTGTACGTTCCAACAGAGTGGTGGTAAAACAACCTGTACAATATGTGAAAAAATACATTGTATTAGTCAGTAACAAAATATTGTCTTAAGAATCAGTTAAAGGAATTTTTTTTAATCGATGGGAAAATGCTAGAAATAAAATTAAACTGGAAATCACATTCCTTTGGTTTGTGTTCAGCTCTACTCATTTATAACTTTATCTGTTCCAGATTTGGCAACATTTCCCAGTCTGTGATCATACCTTCTTTCAAGCACGCCAGAGATGTTCAGGAGAAAGGGATGTGAGCTAGCTGCCAGATATGATACAAGATAGCCATGACAGCCATTCAGCCTCCTTTTCTCCAGGCTAGCAGCTGCTCCTCATGAGACTTGTGCTCTAGAGCCTTCACCAGCTTTGTTGCCCTTCTCTGGATATGCATCTGCCTTGTTGGCTTTCCCCCTGATTCTTACACAAACACTCAACTCTATCATCACCATCATCAAGTTCTAGACAATCAAAATACACTCTTAACATACAGGGCTACCCCTCCACCTTTCCTTCATTGCCTGTCCCTTTTGAATAGTTTATAGCCATCCATTGCAGAATTCCAGTTGTGCAAGTCATCCCACCATGTTTCCATGATGGCAAACTACACCACAGTTTTCCTGCTTCACAGTGGCTTCCAGCTCCTTCTGTTTGTTGCCCATGCTGCATGCATTGTGTAGACGCACTTCAGTTGGGCTATTGATCCTGACACTTTTTTGAGGGAAGAAGCCCTAACTCCTACATGACTATTTGCAGGTGCTTCCATGGTTTCTGTCACATGAATAACCCTTGTATTTTTGCTGCCATGTGGCTCTCCATACCCTAACTCCAAGATGACAAAGGACCTCGCTAGCACACTGTCCCTCAAACACATTTGTGTGCCACTACCAGGTTTACCTCCCGTGAGCTTGGCTTTAACCCCTTTCAAATCTAGTTGAAAGGTTTTTATTCCTTTAGTGTATCCATTCATAAGCAAAGAGATGACTGTCAACAATCCAAAAAGCTGGAATCCCAAGAGGCTTGTGATACAGGACCACAGTCCAGAACTTGCTTGGGTTCAGGAAAGCTAAACTCCACAGTGTGTCTCACCTCAGTGCTGTAAAAGAAAATAAATGGTAGAATTACCACTTATTTGGATTGTGGAAGAAACAAGTAATGCAAGCCCTGGGCCTTATTTACTGCTTATTTTGGGCATCTGATACGGAGCCATCAGAGAGGAAACAAACTATATGAATAGAATAAAAATAATAACCAAATTTTCAGAACAATACAATGATCAATGACTTCTTAGTCAAATGAAAGTTAGCCTTTAGATCAACACTGCAATGCAAATTATTTTAACATTTGAAGAAAATCCAGATTAATTTCCAAAGTTGTTATTTATACTGATTGCATCTACAACCTAGAACAGTATTTTCTACTGCAGAAGTTTGTAACAGTCTTGGCAATCCACTCATTTGAGCAGAGAACAGCCACTTTCCAGAGATGTCACCTGCACATGAGTTCCACGGTGTCACATGTAATCTCTTTCCAAAGTGACTAAAGGAGATTTCACCCTCTTCTTTCCCTTCTCAAATCCCCATAGTATCATGCTGAGATACGTTTTCAGCCATAGCCTTCAGAAATCATACTAAATCTTTGTGATTCTTAAAGATTCAGATCCAGTCCTTTTGGTGGAGCTAGATATTCAGGTAAAAACCACCCTGTATGTTGCACACACTTTTTTATTCACAGTTTAGTTCAACATTCTTCCTTAATTTTAGAGCTGCTACTATATTTCTGCCTTCTCCTTTTTGAAGACTGTTTTGTCAAGCAATGTACCTTCTGATGAAACAAAACCTCAGATCTCAGAATACAGTATCATTGCTCTGGGATAAGATAATAAGTCTGTAACCTGCCCAATGGCAAACACATGATTCTTCCCCATTTTTTCCTCCAGCATGAATGGCACGATACACTACTCCCCCTTTCCTTCCCTTTTTGTCTGCTTGCATGCCACACAGATTTATTCACAATATTAGTGGGCAGATTTTTGTTCATACTTTTTATTTCCCTCTTTCTTAAGAAAGAGTGGGAAACTGTTCCTTTTATTCCTTGCTTATCTGGAACTAAACCAACCAGGTTTGTTTACCTCCATTGTTTGTGTTAGAGCTGAAGGAGGAGCAAAAAAGACTGAAAATATGAATGTGAGAGCAGAAGTCATTTTACACAGAATAAATTCTGTCACAGTATAAGAACCAACAGCTCAGAAAAGCTACTATGTGCTTTTACAGAATTCATAACCTGTATTCTATATGTGTGGATGTTAACACTTACACGAGCATAATACAGCATCACCTGTGTAAGTCCATGTATTATACAGAAAGACTTTGCTCGTTCTGCCTCTGCAACAAACACAACACATTCCAGGAAGCAAACTTTATTGCCACTTGTTCACATATCTGCATCTACTTTACTGTCTGGACTTATCTGTTGTAATCAGACCAAGAGTAGTCAAACAAACGTGGACTTAACGTCAGTGAGGTGAGGCACAGGAATCTGAGAACTGACAGAACAGGATCCTCCCCTATGTATCCGTCTCAGCGCAGGAAGGCGTTGCCTTTTCCAGGCAGATGGCTGATCTATTGGTCTGTGGAGCTTAAACATTTTCCCATGTGCAAATATTTGTGCTTGACCAGAACAAAAGAAAAGTCACCATACCTTTGTGTACCATGGAGGTGAGAGACTGTGGGACACCTCAGCAGTTAAAATGCAAAAGTAACTTGTTCTTGCAGAATAAGACTGATATAATTTGGCTTATGTCATGTACTACACATGTTCTTGCCAAGGGCTGACACACAAAAACGTCCAAATGCTGAGGTGTCCCTTACAGGATCAGCCAAGTCACTGATCTAGTTCCTTTTGTTTGTTCCTTTGTTCAAATGGATGTACAGATCCACAGTATGAGTCAGGTGGAAACAAATAGTTTCCATGGCAAATAAAAAGTCTAAAACCACCAATCAGAAGGGGAGGAATATTTACATTTGTACCAGAAAATCTACAGAATTTTCAATCTATATATTCATTCCTTTTCCTTGCTGTTCAAGGTGTTCATGCTATTCACTGCTTGCCATTCGTGGTTGCTACCATGTATTGTAACGTAAGTGACCCACTAGTCACTAAAAGTGGATCTATCTCAGCGGACTGTTTTCTCTTAGGAGGTATCAGATATTTGCTGATCCCTTTAGAATAACAGAAGATACACACAAAACAACAGCTTCCCTTATCTTTGCATAATAAAGAACTCAAATACAGCGGTGTCATCCTTTAGTTCACACTGCCATATCAAGCACTGCATTCAAAAATTTCCCTATAATTCCAACACTAGCTGTTCTTAAGTAGATGTTCATCAAGTTACCCTTTGTGCATGTCTAAGTATAAGCCGTGAGAAAAAGAAATTGTATCATTTTCAAGGTTATAACACTCATAAGACAATATTTTTCATGGGGTGTTTTGGTGCTTAGACTTGGTTGTTGTTTCAGGAAAGCGCCTAAAAGTACTTCAAAAAGTTCTACTTCTGTTACCTTTCTGAGGTATCACTCATTACTACATTGCACACCCTGGCTACACGTCAAGCAATTGTTTGCAGAAGGTTGCCACACATGAACCCACCTGGTATTTAGCACTCAGCCAGCTGCAGAGAGACGAGTTCACGGATATATACAAACCACTGGCTTTGTTGCTTATGTTCACATACAGAGAAGAGGACAGTGACTGCCT